TTTCAAATGTGACACAGGAAATTATATTCCAAATACTGTTCTGATATTTATATTTTCTACCAAAATATCAATTGACAAAATCATGTTTGTGACAATTTGAAATTGAAATCCTGATTAAATGAAACAACACACGTGTTACAATTTAAAAAGCAAATTTAAAAACACTCAACCCATTTGACCCTTTAAAAAACTATCTCACTCAAATAATAAAAACTTGACTAATAAAATGGAATAACAAAGAGTAAACTTGGACAAGTAAACTAAAAGCATAAAATTTCAATAGAGAAATAGACGATTTTAATAAAAATGCATATAAGTCAATTATAAACTTTCTGAAGATTAATTAAAACTAAAAATAATAAAAACTATTCAAAAATAGATGAGGAAAAAACCGGAAGTCCTTTGCATCGTAGCTATTTGACTCTTGAACAGTGCTAATAATTATCCAGGACATTTCACAACCCCTAAGTTCTCAAGAATTAAAAATTATAACAAAAGACGATGGAGTTGGACTGCAGGAGTTTCTTTTATTCCATAGCTCCTTTGGAAAACTTTCTTTTTCATACACACATTACATAGACGGTTGGCACACAAGATTGCAAGTAATTCCAGTTGTACCCTGGTAATTCAAGCTAAAGAATAAGACCCCAGCTTTATCGCTACTCCAACTTAATGTTCACCCTTCACAATGCAACCGTTGTACGATTGACTTACATATAATTTAAGCAACTATAAGGAATGAAAAATCAGAATGCGGCTTTAGACACAATAGTACGCATCATATTTCGGCTTTTCAAAACACCTTTCTTGCCTTTTTTAAATTGTCTTACCATACTATTCAGTATGCAGTACTTATTCCACTGACAATCATTGAATATTTAAAATTGTTTTTTTATGTCTGTTTCTTGTAGTTTTAAAATTTTAGTTTGTGTTTGCTATTTCGATGTTACAATCTATTACTCATTAGTAGTACTTTGTAGTTAACGCTCACACCCTTTCCAGATATTCAACACATTGGTCGAGCTGATTAATCTCATTCAACTCACCATCAATCTGCGAAAAAGCATTCCAGTGCTGCTATCAGAAAGGAAATTCCATCCACACAAAGATGCTGGGAAAGAATAAAATCCTGGAGAAAATAAATACTCTACGATTGTAATTCATTATATAGAGTAAATGCAGTAACCACGGAAATCAATAGAAGCTGAACCGACTCATCGTTGAAGAAATCAAATTATTGTTTGAAATTTGAATTTAAAATTCAAAAATTTCTTATCTATATAGATATAAAAATTCCAATTGTAAATATTACATTTAAAATGGTGTTAAGAATTGGTCGATCAGCCAATGTCTTTCGTACCAGTGATTCGTCTAAAACTCATACAAATTCCAAAGGATTGTGAAAAGAGTTTTAAAATACCACTCAGCAAAAAAAAAAATAAAATTATATTAAAAATTATTTTATTTGTGGGCATTCTTACAAGACAAAACATCTTGTATTTGGTTGATAACCGCTTTTATGGATCACGGAACCGATGAATTATACGATGACTTACCAGTATCAACATCTCCAAACATCTTCAATCTGAAACACCGATGTGGAAGAAAAAGCTTTAAGTACAAATCCATATCCGCCATCACCAGCAGCAGTCTAACAATCATCCATCCAATGCACCATTTCTTCAGCAGCTACAGCTACATCACACATCAATACCACCTGGAAAACACCAGTAATGTTAGTAAAAAAAAATTTAATTAAATTGGTTCTATTAATTCAATGATAGAAATTAAATTATCAGAATTTATCAAATTCTCATGTGATCTAAGCGGTTAAAAATTTTATATAATTTTCTTTTCTTTTTTATTTCGTTATTTTTATTTTGGTTATTATTTTTTTTTTTCATTTTAAGTTTTGAGAGATCATATTTTTGTACGTTTTTGTTTATTTTTTTTTTAAACCATAACAAGTGAAAAGAAAATCTAAAAGAAAAGAAAAATGGCTAGAAGAGCGTTGCATCAGAGCATAAGGTCATAAATATCTCACCAAAGAGTGAGATTAGAAGTGTCTATTATGCAAAAGATTATAGAAATATCGTAAAATTATGCCGGTTGTTGACTAATTTTAAAATTAATATTAATGAAAAATGCTGTTATATAATTGAGTAATAAAAATATCAAGATATGGCTGCATGAGTTTTGAAATGTATTGAATATATGATCGTTTCATGAAAAAGTATATCAATAAAAATTTAATACATTTTCATGAGACTTTCTAACACTTTAAAATTCATGCAATGTTCCATGCTTGGTATCTTTTATTATTATTTTTAGTTTATTTTATATTTTATTTATCGTCCGTTTATGTTTTTTCGTTCATTCGTAAAATGGCCTGTCATTTCTTGTCTTATTTTTCGTTTTCCTGTGACGAGACGTTCATTGAGTGAATTTGCATTCAATAAGAGCAAAATATCTGATGTTTTTTAATAAATTTCCGACAAATTTATGCTGCCGGCAGCAAAATTTTTCTATCCATAAAGTTCAAGCAAAAACTGTGAATTTGGAATATAACGTTGCCATCAAACGTCCATTATAATAAAATTTATGCAATTTCACATCTCTCACGTTTCGAATCATAAATCATGTTTTTCGTTATTTAGTTTATTCGGTTCATTTTTGTTGTTTTTTTTTCTCTCCACGTTCGAAACATTAGAAAATAGATTAAAACTCCCGGTAAAATTTTATAATAATTATTTTTCTAATAAAATTAAGTGTATTCAATTAACAAAATTACTATTTAGTCGCGTGTAATTAGGCTTTTGTGTGTGTTCGTGTTCGTGTTTGCGCTTCTCCAATATATTCGCGTAAAAATTAGTAGGTCGCGATCAATTAAGTATCGAATTAAATTCAGTAGGTTAAATAATCGCGTGTTTTTTTAACGTGTGCATTTTTCCATTTCACTTTTTTTTTGAGTTTCGCGTTATTGTTTGAATTAAAGTTCAAAGGAATCCATAGTTTTCCAGTCTTATATGTTAAATATGGTATAATAGTCGTTCTCGACTAATTAAAATAATGTTAGGTTCGTGTAGGTTCGATCGTGAAAAGTTTTCATAGAAGCTTTACTTCTATCAACCATCTATTCTTTCATTAACTGGAACGATTTTTTTTTATTTTCCTTTTAATTTCGTTCTTATTTCGTTTATTCTTTTTTTCAGTTCGTATTCTTATAATTTTATTTTCATTTTTCTGCAAATTGATAAGTTCCCAGTTATTTTATTGTTAAATTAATTGTTAACGTTTTTGCTTCGATTGTTCTGAATCACGTTTCGATGCTGATCGTTAGTAATTTAGTTCGAATTTCTATCTATTTTATTTTATTTTTCATTATTACGTACAATTTATTGATGCTAGAGTTATTTCGGTTCACTGAAATTTTACTTGGTTCTGTGTATTACACTCATCCGTTTATATGTTTTGATTTGTTATAAAAAACTTGATCGGTCAGTTGTAAGTTGATGTTAATGTTTTACTTTGTTATCTGTTTCGTAATTAAAGGTTTATAACTGTTTATGTTCAATATCATGTTATTATGTTTGTAAAAGCAAATGTTCACTGTTAACTACTTCACCCGTTAATGATTGTTCATGTTGAATTGTTACGAATTCTGTTAAAAAGATGAAACTTCCTATTAATATTAATTTTTTATAATCGTTATACTATTATTTTTCTATTGTAGATTCGTTTCATTTCATGCATTTATTACTTTAACATCCAATTTATATGTTAATGATATAAAAATTAATGTTTTTTATTGTGTAATTGTTAAATTGTTGTATAAACAACTGTTGATTGTTGAGTTACGCCATTAATTTGTTACCTCATACAAAAACAAATTCAGAATTGGAATCAATATTGTTATTTTTAGTTCATTGATTAAATTTCTGATAATTGTTTTACAGAGAACCTGCTATTATGGAAACAGAAAAAAAATTTTTAATTAATTCATGATGAAAATGAAAAACTTATACTAATTATAACATGTTTTGCGTAAAAAAAATGTTAATACCTTTGTTGTAATGGATATGTAAGAATTGAAAATATTGGATATTGTTTATTGTTGTTTTCCATATTTTTGATATTCCATATCCACTCGATTAAAAATTATGACGATCGAGCGTAGCGTTATCAATGTTAATTTTATGTTTATTTTTCAATGTTCTTTTATTACTTTAAGTTATTTTAAGAATTTTGGCTTCACCGGCAGTGCCTTTCACTTGTCTTTAGTTTATGTAAAACTCTATGATGTGCTTTTCACCTCGAATCGATTATAATATCATATGATAATTGTAGGGTTATCGTTAAATAAGATTGTAGAATAAGCAAGCTATTTTACATTGAGTGAACATCGCGTGTACGTTAACAAAAAAAAAAATAAAAAAAGTTTATAAATACTAAAAAACCTTTGTCTTTATTCCGCCCATAACCTTCCATACATTGATGCATAAAATTGGCTCTATTCTTTGAATAGCATATTAATTTGGTATTATGATTATTAAATAAGTTGTTTGTGTAGAACGACACGAATGTAATGAGCATAAATTAAACAGAATTAATCGCAACAATACTAATTGAAGATTAAAGTAAACGTACTGACATTGTTCGATACCACGCGCGTCTTTCACCGTTTGGATTTGTTGCTGAGTGACGTCAGATCAAAAAAGAGCCAAAAGCTCGAATGATACGTCATCTCCGTCGATAATATACCTACAGTCATTATGATGCATTTACCGACATCATTTCCACAATTGATAAATTACCAACAAATCTTTATTTACCACAAATCAACGTGAGTGCGCTTTGCTGACTGTTCATATTATAGTTATTGACAGTGCTCCAAATCGAATAAAACAATGGAGTCGTTGCCGTCTGCAGAAACTTTTGATCACTTCAATAATAAGCTTCAACATAGATTTAGAAGAATTTCCTATATTCCACCCGATGTTTCAGCATGACACGTGCGCTTGCGTACCTATCAGTTGACATGTTGTCTAGCGTAACGCATGTTATACTATGTTATACTGTGAGAGCGTCACTCCAGTAGATTATCACTGCGACCTTGATCTTGAGAAATAGCCGGTGTCAAGTTATTTATTCACAAGATACACGTGAGATAATCTCTGATACAGAATTGTGGTTAAGCAAAGACGTCAGGTACTAATAGAGCTATTCATCATACAAAATTTTGGTAAGTACTTAACTTATGTTCTACTTAGAAATTTTAACTCCAAAACTTGCGCGTCACTTGAGATTTCCATTGATTCTCGTATATGAATTCATTTATTTTTTTAAAGTGATTTTTGGATTATTGATGTTTCAAATGCATTATAATGATCCATTAATTTTTTAATAGTATTTAATAGTAAGATTTAGGGCTTGATAGCAAGGAAATATAACTTGTCTATTGAATTTTATAGATAATAAACCACAATTTATTTCGTGAATTAATCAAACAACTGCAAGCGTTATATTATCATTTTATGATAGCTACGACATTTAGAGAACATACGTTACATAGTCATATTACGATAATACTCCCACTTCTCTGTTTCATGGTTACTCGTATCAGGTAATAAAAGACGTTTAGTTCATCACTTCTGGCGTATTGTGAAAAGTAAACATAACACTCGAGCCAAGCTTACCTCGGCCTTCGTGTATTATATCATTCACATAACGTAACTATTAAAAACAATAGCGGCGAATAAAATTGCGGAGACAAAAATAAATAGAAAACGAATGACATTAATTTTTATCTTATATTCTTTAGTCTAGTCATACGTACAAAGTTCATGATGTCAACAAACCGGTAAGACTTATCGAGTTTCTATTTTGATTTTCGCAATAAAATATATGAAATCGATTTATCATCATATACATATACATACATGTTTTTGTGGAATTTCGGTTTGAAATAAAAATAAATTATAATGTAAAAGTCGAATCATAGGAATGGCTAATTATTTTTAATCGTTGATTATAAATGGTAGAATAGAAATTTAATCATTTAAATAGTGTAATAACTTCACAGAAGTACTTATGAAAGTAAAAGTAATGTTTCTAAGAGGCGATAAAACATTTTTGTCATATTTTATTGCTTCCCTAGTTTTTAGGACCTTGGTAATAGCCATGAACTATGTACTTTATTGTTAACTTGTGCTCAACTTTTAGCTTTATCTCGCGTTTTTTTGAATTAAAATGTCATTGATTATCTTGTTTGAAAGTTCCTTTTTACGGTTTTTTGGCTAATTAAACTACTCAATCCCCCAAGTAACCAACTTCCTGAATCAATCAAATCAGCTGATGAGAAATTTATTGAGTAATTGAGTAAAAAGAATTTATCATTAAATGAAATAACAAATTGTGAAATTAGTTGTTTATATTTTTAAAAAAATTACATGTTTTGATTTCAACCAATTTCTTACTGGTAACATTTTTTTTATTGATGTTTGGATCTTTGCTGTCCATCGAGGGTTTCGTTTACCTTTTAATATATTATATTACTTGGGATTTAAACGAATGAAAACAAACCAGAAAAAAGCCCTTGTCATCGTAGATTAATAAATTGTTTTCACTGTGAATTCTTTCATTTGTGATCTTATTCTACTCGGTTATACAGATGACGTGTAATTAACAATCTTTTATTCAATTCATGTCATGTTTCCGTCTATTCATTCGAGTGATTTTTTTTTAAAAACTGTTTTTTATCACAGCAAAAAAAAAGTTTGACATTCTGTATACTGAAAAACTTTTTAACCGAAGCAATAGGCTTTTCTAAATCATATTTTTAAAAAGCTTTTACTTTTCAATAATAATTTAATTTTCTGATATTTAGTTTCAAAATAATATCGACTTTGTTTCCTAATAGTTTTTGTCAATTTTTTTATTTTATAATTATTTAAGTAATTTTTTTTTCTACACAAGCAAAAGCTTCAAGAGATTCGATTACGAGAACTTTTGTCTAGCAATTTGGTTCGTTTTGACAAAAAATGGTTTATTTTAATTTATTTAATAGAAGTTCGAAAAAGTTTTAATGATCTTTTGTTGATATTTTGTAAGTGAATACTAGACTAATGTTCATTCTGAAGAGAATTAGTGTTGAGGAGAAAGTTATCAGAGTTATAAATTGATTATTAAAGTTCCACGGCTAATCGTAATGTCCTTGTTTTTCCGTAGTTACATACAAGTGAATACTTGAGATCTAATTAGAGTTTCGTGGTGTCTTTTATTGTGCTCATATGTTCTTTATGGTAAATATTAATATTTTTTTTTTTGAAACATGCTTACACGAGGATTTCGTATTCATAGATACAATAAAAAAACAAGCAAAAAATTAAATGCTCATTCGTTGAAATGATGATCAAGCAGAAATAGGGAAATTTTCATGGCGTAATTAGAATCTAAGAGGAATGTAAGAGCACGCAAATGGGATGCGGTATGCCGCATGCATAGGTATCAAAATAATCGTGCTGAAATAGCTGCTCTATTGCTTTGATATCACAGAAAATTTGCGTGAAACGAGACGTAAAATGTTCGTCTCAGCGATCGAACGAAATTAACGACTTGGGGATCGTAAGGACAGAATTATCGAAGTCGTAAATCAGAGTAAAAGTTCACCTCCAAGCGTTTTAATTTCCGTTAATAATTTACCCACCCCTTATAGTCTTCTTCTTCGTTGGTTTCAGAAATATAATAGCTATGTGGGATCTTTTGCGGCAACGTTAGCTTCGTTTTATTGGACAAAACCAATCGGCTTAAAGACGTGGTAGACCACAACATGAAAAAAACATAAAAAAATATTTTCCTCTTTATTGAAAATAAAAATGTGTAGAGTAAACATACAATAGAGGACTTTTCTCCAAAAATATATATTTTCTGTAATCGTATATCTCATCGTTTCAAATAAAATAAAATATAGAAGCTGATTATCCTTAAAATATTTGATATTTTTTAATTTAAAAAAATTTTTTGAATTTTTTTGTAACTGTCTAATGGAATTATTTTGAAACAATTTCAACGATTTAATGAAAAATTTGATTAGCTTTCAATTAGCCCAAGATACATCGATTGACCTTGCTAGCATATATATTGATTCAACCATTTACGAATTTTTTGGGGTTCACATTCTCGGAATAATTTTTGCCATAATTTATATCTAATTTTGTTGATTCTTCTGGGCCGTACTTTCATTAATTAACAAGCAATTATAGCATTTTTTTCATCTATAGTTAAAGGGATTTTTTTTACTAAACAAAAGCAAAAAAAGGTTTATTCAATTATTAAATTTTTAATTGTATTAAAACTTGCAATGACAAAATTAATAATTCTAAAAATTAAATTAATTCAAAAAAGTTTTAATTTTTTATATATATTTAGTAAAATTTAGAGAAAAACAAATACCATGATTCCATCAAGACCAAACAAACAAGGTATTATTCAGAATGAATAAGACTTAATTGAATGAACATAAATTATTACGTAAGATGAATTGCACAGTGGGATAATACTCAAAAGAACATTGAATTCTTTTGTAAATTGTACTCCAAAGTCTATAGTTTACATGATACAATTTATATATGGACTCTTTACAAAATTCGTCTCGTCCGTCTAGAAGCTTTGAATTAAATGTAACGAGCGTCGTCATTTAGTTTAATCGAGGTGAATGTTGGCTACTCTACTCAGCAACATCAGTCCCTTCCCCAGAGTAATTACGTCGTTGGAGTACCAATCAGTGTAACACGACCAAGCTACGACACAAGACAAGATACAGAGTATAGAAAGACGAGCTTGTCTGTCTCTTGACAAAGCAGTAATTTATTTTCTTCATTCTTAAGAAGCTTCTTATTTACATTTTCCAGAAAATTTAGCATCTTTATGTTGACCAATCTGATGAGAAATAAGAATGGACTTGAACTCTTGCACGTATTTCTCTCTTGGCAAGAAACCATTATTGGTTTTATTTACACTGAGCTCTTTTATTACATTGTTCTTGGAGAATCGATGTAAAACATGTAGTTTCATTTTTATTCAGATTGGAATGGAGTCCAGACTTGAAGATATATTTACAGAAATATCGAGGATCCTGTATTGAATGTTTTCATTGAGATGATATAATACATTTGTCAGCTCGATGCAGTTGATTGAATTTATTGATTTATGTTCAAAAGACAATACCATGTTGATACAATTGATTTAATTTTTAATAAAACTTGGACGACTGTTCACGATATTTTAATATAAATATTTTTTCAAAGACACTTTGGTAAAAATGATATCGTTATATGAGTGGAGAATTCTTTTGAATATTCTCGGCTTCTTTTAATATAATTACATATTCATAGCGGATGATTTAATGATGAAGACGTGGAGAGTTTTTTCTCCTCTTCACTATCTTTTAGAGTATAAGAAATTTATTTTTGGAATACTCTCTAAAATGTCAATTCGGATTTCTCTTTTTTCCTTTTTTAATTAGTTTCACAGTGATGACGTATACTTTAATAGTCAAGAGTATTTTTATATTCTGAAAAATTAACTTGTTATTATTGATTTAACGGAAATGTTTTCTTGATAGTTGTAATTAATTATGTTTTTAATTATTTATAAATGATGTATTTCGAAAGGTTATTATTTAGTCATCAACTTTTCCAAACTGAAAAACTTATAGTAAAGTTTCCAGGTCGCCTTTACCTAATAAAGATTTTAATGTTTACAAACATATTTAATTATACTTATGAATTGTTCATATATTTTTGGCTGCTTCGATTTCTTCGCCCATTAAAAATTGAAAGTTTTGTATTTTAATTAGATACATTAATTGAAATTTTGTGAATAACAATGATATTTTTGTGATAAAAATTATTTATAACATTTACATAGTTTGATAAATATAATAAGTAACAATGGAATTCAATTACATCTAATAAAAAGTTATCTTAAGATATTCTGAACTCAAATGACTCTAAGTCAATTATTTCTTCATTCTTTCTTCATGAAATGAAATAATATAATTAACTTTTTTATTTAAACAAACAAAAAATATAGTTAAGATATCTTGATTATTTTTATAGCAAATAATATAATAATTACTAAGATATTTTAAATAAAGGTCAGACGAAAAAATCCTTTTGACTTACGTGTTAATACGTTATTTAATGTACGAAGTTTAAGTGAACTTTCATTATATCATCAGTCATAATTATTTAATTTATGATAATGTAGTAAATTAAATAATAAATGAAGATTAATTAAGTTAATAAATATTATTTGTTCTAGGTTTGAAAGATGGTAGAAAATAGACACAAAATGATTAAATTAAAAAGTGGCAAAAGTGTCAGATAAGTGATGGAAGATGTGATCGATCAGCTGATCATATGGAAGTGTCAAAAACACAATTTTGTTGAGTATAGAAGTTGACATTAGAGTGACATAAAAATGAAGATGAAAGCGGAAATAAGAGAATAAGATCATTTTTAGCTGAAAGTACAAGTCATAATGTAGAGAAGTGTATGAGATAAAATAGATAAATAAATAATCATTGATCAAAGTTGATTGTTGAGTAGAGTGTACGTCGCGTCGACGACGTCGTCGATGCTCGCGTCGCTTGCGGTAGTCGTCGCGGGGTTGCGGAGGGTGGCGGGGAAATTAGAGTTTAGTATTGCGCGAGCAGTGGCCGAGTGCGGTCCTCGAGTTCCATCTGTTGTTTTGCGTGTGCCGGCAAACGTGCGCGATAATAATATTTACCGTTATTACAAATATATCCTTGTGGGTATTATTTATCCAAGAAGGCCGTGTAAACCGCAAGGGAGCTGTGAAGAATCGTTGTGGTGGGTCAGGAGAAAAAGATAGCAGGTAAAAGTGTGGACCAAAACAAAGAGATAAACGAGAACAGGAAGAAGAAGAAGAGGAAATAGATTTTTTTTTTTTCAAGAGAACTTTGAAAAAAAAGTGTGTGAAAGCTGTAAGTGAACGAGAACAAGACAACGAAAAAAATGAGCGCGAGAGAAGTCACCCTCGTTGGTGGTTCTCCCTGGGGTTTTCGAATGCATGGCGGCCATGACCTGCATCAACCTCTCCGGATCTCTAGAGTGAGTAATAACTTATGTTATTCTTAATTCCATTATTCTATTACACTTTTTTTTGCATTACTTTGCATTTTTCAAAATGCATTTTTTATTTAATAAGGCCGATGGAAAAAAATTTTCTCCTACTAATTCAGCTATTTAATTAAAGTCATAAAACATCCAACATGAATATACTTCGATACATTTTTTAATCTACCACTCGACTCTATTATAAAAGATATTTAATTAATATTGAAAAAAAATTTTTTTAATGAAAATACAAAATGTATTTTCGATATTTAATCATCAAACATACTGCTTAAATATCACACTATCGTAAATCTGATTAATGGTATTATTTCTTTAACTTTTGCATATAAATCAATCTTTGAAATCCATGATTTTCGTACTAAAACTGCAACATTAATAAAAGAAAAAAAAGATATAGTCTACTAATTTAAATTATATTACAACGCTCCCAAATGAGTTCTTGTTAAAGAGTATAAAGCTTATTGGAGATTTCATTTGGATAAATAAAACCATGTCGTTGTTTGTTTCATTAAATATTTCCATTATCATCATCCTACTAGGAAAAAAATGAAAAACCGTTACTACCGATCTTTCCACTAAATTGTCGATAAATTACCAAATAGCATCAAACAAATTGTAACGTATGTTCCTGTTTTGTCTCACTAATCTACTTATGAAGACGTGGACAATGAATTAATATTAGCATGACAATAATCAATGAATAGGTGATTAATTATCATTGAAATAGAATAGATGGTCCCAAGCGAATGCGACATTATCGATATGAGCGATCCATCAATGATATGATCGATGAGTGCTACTGCGAATGCGAAAGGTAAGAGGAGAGTGTGGGTGAAAGGCTAGAAGGGTGAAGAGAGTGTAGGTACACATATGTATACATATACATACGGTACGTAGTATTATATGGCCCGTGTGCGATATGCTAACGCGTTGGATCGTTACGATGACGTTTTCCAGTAGAGATTACGCACGCCTCCTGTATGTATTATATGTAACAGTTATGCAAACGACAAGTTTAAAGAAGATATGCCGTTTTAAATTTGGCCCAAGTTGTGCACCGGCACGTCCTTGCATTCTACGCGTCCACCAATCGAGTCGTAGTTTTTCATCTATCAAGGTCGTCAGACACACTCTGCCGTATCTACTTATTCACTCTGTTAATGACGCTGCCGCTTCGTTCTTTAATACTCTACACTACTATTGTTTTTTTTCTTTCCTTCTTTTATTAATTCTCTTCCGTGTTTAATTTAGTTTTTAATTACTTATTTTATTGTTTGCCTTATTTGTTAACCGCTAAAAAACCGTGATATCATGATAATCAGTATCATTTACGTACTGTGTGTTAATTATGTGATAGATCAGTCTTAATTGTGATAATCAAATTACTTTTGCTTGCTGAGAGAATAGAAATCGATAGTCAACTAACAGCTGCAAGCTATAAACACAATAATAATCATAAAAGCTTGTGTTTTTCTTCGTTTCATGATATGCATGTATAATCATCATTGCTAATATGGATACATTAGCGTTAATTTTATTCATTAATATTCTTTCGACATCATTTAGTTGTATTAGTCAATGACATTATTATCTCATGCTTGGAGAACGTCGTATGATCGATTTCATTGAATATAAAAATTGATGTTTTAAGATGATTTATTATCGTGATACATGTACATGTGAGTTATTTTTCCGCTATTCAGTGGTTTTATCTTATCAACATGCGAAGAATTAAATTTAAAACCTCAACAAGTTGATGAGCAGAGAGCAAAGTTAATTAATAAACTAATAAATAAATGGTAATATAATTAGTTTTATTTTTGTATATAATATTTTAAATGAATTAATAGAAATAAATTGGTCAATTGCATGCACTGAAACTTAGATAAGTTGGAATACATGGGATAGGTAAAACAGCGAAATTCTAATTATATTGTTTGTTTGGGCACATAAAAAGTGAATTTGATAAAAATAAAGAGATTTTAATAAATTGAAAAGCTTTGAGTGGCGAAATAAAATGAATCAGCGCAAAAAATAATAGACGAGAGGTAGAAATGAAAAGTGTAAAACTTTTTATATGAAAAAAAAAATTATTGCCAACGATGAAATTTTATCAGTGCCAGAAGGCTCATACACAAACAGTTATATCACATCTGCACGCTATCATGAAAGACCGCTGAGCTCGGTTAGATGAGTTTCAGTGACATTTTGTTGGGTTTTTTATCTTCTCTTTTTACACGTACCTGTGTCGCATTTATTGCCACGAACTCACGGGCAATTTCGACGAGTTCACTGAGTAACCCGAAGCTTTCGTTCATCTACCATCAGCTATACATACATGGATGATGTCTATATAGTCTATAGTTTTGTACTAAAACTACTCTCCGACGCCAATCCTGAGTGGCCGCGAGCTAAAGACTTGAGTACAAAGAGGAGCTTTCACGCAACACGATTTATCACGTGAATGCCCTCCACTGTATCGTCCAAGTCTGCGGAAAAGATACTTTTCTTCGTGCGAGCCGTAACTGCCGGACGTGCTCATTTCCCACTTTACCCCTCTCACCTTCGCCTACAAACCTTACCCTCATACTTCTCTTTCCTTTAAAAGGCGAAAAGTCATTTCTTTTACGACACCCAAATGACATGACGATTATTCTTCTAAATCGGAATCTTTCACTCCTTTTATTATAACTATTGTGCTAAGCCGTTGACATTTTTTAACTCATTGTCCACAAATATCATGGATTCGACGCGAAATATTGGAGTTCTTTTATATTCCCTCGGGTGAAATTATACTATAAATATGGAGAATTTGTCAAAGATTGAATTTTTACTAAAATTTTACGAATATGATTTGAATACTTTTGATGTCGTTGGCTTCATTTCACGTAGTTCGAGTACTTTTTTTACGTCAAATATATTTTCATAGATAAACAACCAGACAAGGTGAAAAAATTTCTGTTGGATACCGACTAAATTATTTATTACTTTTTTTAGTTTATTCAAAGTATATCTGTATTTAAAATTTTTTTTTTAACAAACGAAAAAGAATTATTTTTGTTTCGAGTTATCTCAGCATGTGATGTGGTCAAAGTCATAGTTCTGACATATTTTGTGAAAATATGAGTTTGATTAACAAACAATTTTTTTCACAGAGGTTGTCGTTTATCTGAAGTAGATTTTTAGTTAGAAGAAATAGTAAATACTTTTAACCAAGGTGATTTCAGATAAATAATTAATTTTATTTAATTAAAGCAAGTTAGTTAATTTGCTTTGCAAGAATTTTCGTAAATAAATAAAAAATCTTTGTTCTACAATTAGAGAAAAAAAAAAATCTTTTCATTCTACTATATTCTACAACTCAGAAATATCATGTTAAAATTGAATATCAAAAGTTGTTTCTATGCCATTAATTACGATGTGCATTGTATTAATAAATTAACTACAAAACTTTATGTTTAAATAAAAAAATATGTTCCTTATTAAATGAATTTGTTATTTATTTATTTAATAACTTGGTAAATTTTTCTCAACTTTGTATCTTCTTTATTACATTTTTTGAATTATTTTCAGCCATGTACTCCAAATTTAAACGAAATATTTTGCTGTAAATGAATAACGTTCTAAATAAATCATTTTTTTTCTGTCCATGATAATTATTTTTTTCTGAAGGTTTTTAAAAATATGCTCAGTTTGATAAAAATTACATTTCAAAAATATTCTAGAGTTATATGAATTAACATCACCTCAATAACGAAATTTACGTCCTCTAATAATTGATTTCAATGCAATCAAATATCCCAAAAAATGATTTGTTCATTATTTAACAAGATGAATCTTAGAAATTAGATATTTAATTCATTGAAATATCTTACGAGTAGTTGAAGAGATATCTCCATCTGCTCTTAAAATCTATCTGTCAATTACAGTTTACATTGCTATCATTAAGTAAGAGAATATTTCAAATCAAAAATCTCGTATAGTTTTAATGAAGAGTTTCCAGCAATCCAATATATAACAGAATTGAATCATCTTATAGTTCTCTCTAGCTTTTATGTCTACTAATTATTGATAAGAATTGTCAGTAAATTTAGAAACTGTTTCTAATATTCTTGTATCAAGTATGTATGAAAATTAATATCTTAAGGAACTTTATTGTTTATATGAATTTAATTCATCGGTGCTTTGTTCACTTGCATTCCCATAATATCCGTAAGCTATATCTGAATAGTTTGAAATAATTGAAAGCCTCAAAGTTTGTTGGTTATAGTAGCAAAATTCCAATTGGTGGGACACAACAGTGCTAGCATAGCACAACTAGAGTTCAAATCCTGTCTACGTAAACGAATTGAGAGTTGAATTTGTTGTAAACTGAGAGTGATTTTCAATAGAATTTATGCTGAGAATAATTCCATTGTATTGTATTGAATATATCATAACTTGTTAATTAATTTAATTATTAAAATGCTCATATACGATTTCTGTTTTGTGATGTCATTTTTGTCAATAACACATTTGTATTTATACTCAGAATAATTATTTCAGTTTCATATCATTCAAGTCTTTGAGTAAAATCGTTGTTGTATCACTCATATAATATTTCACATTTCACGATGATATCGTTTTACTTTATCAAATTTGTTTCCATCGAAATCACGTAAATGCGGAGAAAAATATTTGATAGCAGAAATCGATATTACTTATGGCTATTATTTTACAAAAGTCGAATGCACTAGCTGACTCTCTATTACGGGATGTTCAGCTTTCAAGAAAAAAAAATCACTAAAAATCAAAACGGATAATATTTACGAAAGAACAATTCCTTTTTTTCTATTTTAAATAAATCATTATTTCTAGTATTATTCTTTATTTATGTACTGATAAGAGGCCTGGCTTGTTCACTTGTACACTAAAGAAGAATGTTTTGAATAAAAATTTTTTAGTTGAAAATTGTTTAATATAATTCAAACAAG